GGATGAAAACTGATCTTTTCAGTCCTGTGGCCACTGCTGAGTTTTCCAAATTTGCTGGCAAATTGAGTGCAGCACTTTCACAGCATCATCTTTGAAGATTTGAAATAGCTTAGGTAGAATTCCATCACCTCCACTATCTTTGATTGTAGTGATACTTCCTAAGGCCTACTTGGCTTCACACTCTAGGATGCTGACTCTAGATGGGTGACCACACCATCGTGATTATCCAGGTCATTAAGATCTTTCTAGTATAGTTCTTCTGTGTGTTCTTGCCACCTGCTCTTAATCTCTTCTGCTTCTGTTAGATCATTACTGTTTCTATCCTTTATCATGCCCATCCTTGCATGAAATCTTTGCTTGATATCTCCAATTTTCTTGACGAGATCTCTAGTCTTCCCCATTCTATTCTTTCCCTCTATTTCTTTTCACCACTCATTTAAGAAAATTTTCTTATCTCTTCTTGTTATTCTCTGGAACTCTGTATTCATTTGGATATATCTTTCCCTTTATCCCTTGCCTTTTGCTTCTCTCCTTTTCTCAGCTAGTTATAAAGCCTCCTCAGACAACCACTTTGCCTTCTTGCATTTCTTTTTCTTTGGGATGGTTTTGTTCACTGCCCCCTGTACAATGTTACAAACCTCGTTTGTAGTTTTTCAGGCACTCTGTCTACCAGATCTAATCCCCTGAATCTATTTGTCACCTCCATTGTATAATCATAAGGGATTTAATTTAGGTCATACCTGAATGGTCTAGTGGTTTTCCCTACTTTCTTCAATTTAAGCCTGAATTTTGCAATAAGGTGTTCATGATCTGAGCCACAGTCAGCTCCAGGTCTTGTTTCTGCTGACCGTATAGAGCTTCTCCATCTTTGGCTGCAAAGAACATAATCAATCTGATTTTGGTATTGACCATCTGGTGATGTCCATGTGTAGAACCATCTCTTGTGTTGTTGGAAAAGGGTGTTTTCTATGACAAGTGTGTTCTCTTGACAAAATTCTGCCCTGCTTCATTTGGTACTCCAAAGCCAAGCTCACCTTTTATTCCAGCTATATCTCTTGACTTCCTACTTTTGCATTGCAATCCCCTATGATGAAAGGACATCTTTTTTTGTGTGTTAGTTCTAGAAAGTGTTGTAGGTCTTCATGGAGCCAGTCAACTTCAGCTTCTTTAGCACCAGTGGTTGGGGCATAGATTTGAATTACTGTGATGTTGAATGGTTTGCTTTGGAATCAGACTGAGATTATTCTGTTTTTTTGAAATTGTACACAAGTACTGCGTTTCAGACTCTTTTGTTGATTATGAAGGCTACTCCATTTTTTCTAAGAGATTTTTGCCCACAGTAGTTAGATATAATGGTCATCTGAATTAAATTTTCTCATTCCTGTCCATTTTAGTTCACTGATTCCTGAAATGTCAGTGTTCAATGTTACCATCTCCTGCTTGACTATGTGCAATTTACCCTGATTCATGGAACTAACATTCCAGATTCCTATGCAAAATTATTCTTTACAGCATCAGACTTTGCTTTCACCACCGGACACATTTACAACTGAGTGTTGTTCCCACTTTGTCCCAGCTGCTTCATTCTTACTGGAGCTGTTAGTAATTGCCTTTCACTCTTCTCCAGTAGCACGTTGGACACCTTCTGACTTGTGGGTCTCATCTACAGGCATCATCTTTTTGCCTTTTCATACATTCATGGGGTTCTCCAGGCAAAAATACTGGAGTGGGTTGCCATTTCTTTCTCCAGTGGACCGTGTTTTGTCAGAACTCTTCGCTGTGACCTGTCTGTCTTGGGTGGCCCTGCCTGGCATGGCTCCTAGCTTCATTGAGTTACACAAGCCCTTTCACCATGGCAAGGCTGTGATCCGTGAAGGGGTGTGTAGTGACTTTGTTTAAGGTGACCAGGGAGATAATTGGAAAGTCCACACTCAAATGCAGAAGTTAATAAGGTGTGTAAAATATGAAGTGATGTACAAGCCACAACCCCTTTGTTCAGATGACCTACATTATCAGTGGGTAGACAAGGCATAAAAACAGATGAGGACATTGCAATATGTATGCTTCATAACATGAGGGGAGGAGAGATCCTGGGGAGCTGTGGGCTGGGGCTGGTGCTTAAAGTAGACTCACAGCTAGTAGGAGGCTTGAATGTAAGGAATGGAGAACTCTTTAAAGTAACTAATTTGTCATCCTCCCAAGCTTCATTGTGACCCAGAACTACAGGACAGTGGTTTGTCCAGGTTTAGACAGCTCTCAGAGTTGGTCATCTTAGCATACGGATACTCCCAAGGATGTGAGTCAAGTCCAGTATTAAAATCCTTACATTGTCAGGCTGATTGGACTTGTATGTCTATGAAAAACCAGGAAATAAACCCATTCATTCATTTTACAAGGACACTTAGAGAACATGCTTTGTATTAGGCACTGTGAATTTAAAGTTGACCAAGACACACAGTCATTTAGTACCACAAGGTGAAGTCCTCTGAGAACAAGTTGGAGAGATGGAAAGGACCTGGGCCCTCCATGGAATTGCTAAGCCTCTGAATATGCCGATCTTGCAGTTTGCTCTGTGTTTGGATCTTATTATAAGGCATTATTAGTCAAGGTTCTTGTTGCTTGGAGCTGAAAATATCCTAATATTAGATAGGATCAGCATTCTTGAGGAGGCATTTCTACTCCTGACTGGTGTCCTTGGGAGAGTTTATCACATCACTTCAAGATCCCCACTGCCTCTGAATGAGACAAGCTATAGAAAGGTACAGAATTAGATGAGAAAGATGAAGATAAGGTTTTCCTTGGGACATTACTTTCCAGCAATCCCTTTCCTATCTCCCAGCTCCTTACCACCTCCATTCTTCCTGTCCTACCTTATCCAGCTTAGATACCATTTTCTGCCATTTCAGGATCACTCTTGCTAGTATCTTAAAACCCCATCACACCTTAGTTTTACTGTCAGCTATCTTTGTATATTCATGCTTTCCAATATCAAATACGTACTTGGGACTGGTCAGCAATTATACCATGTCTCTCTTGTCAACTGTTTTTCTCACATTCTCCAAGGATAATTTAAATCCTTTACTGTTACAAACTTCCATTTCACTTCTCAATATCTCCTATGTTGCTAAGAAAATTGATGTTGTCATTTGGGAACTCTCTTTAATTCCCATATAAAATCTATAAACTAACATATATTTATACCCACCTGTTCCTTCAGTCTACACATTTTTATAGATGACATGCTCACTTTTCTTTCTAAAGCGATTCTTTCCACCTGGCTTGGGTCTCATCCCTTGTACCAATCAACCATTTCTCACTTTTAAGTCTCTCCCATCCTAAAAAAAAATCCTTTCTTGATACCGTGGCCTTTCCCAGCATTGCCTTATTTTTTAATCTCCCTATACAGTCAGACTTCTAGAAAGAGTTGTCTATACTTGCTATAAGGCTGTTGGGATTTTGATTGGAATTGTATTAACTCTGTAGATCAATATTGGGAGAAGTGATGGTATCTTTAAAATATTGTCTTCTTATCCCTGAACATGGTAAAGTCTTTCATTTGTTTTCATCTTTACTTTTTGTCAGTAATGTTTTATATTAGTCTTTGTGAAGGTCTTGCAGAACTTCTGTTAGATTAAGTCCTAGTTATTTGATACATCTTTTTGCTATTTTAAGTGTTATTAAAAAAATTTTTTTTTATTTGGCTGTGAGGGGTCTAAGTAGCAGCATGCGATCTTCAGTTGCAGCATGTGGGATTTAATTCCCTGACAAGAGATCGAACCTGGGCCCCCTGCATTGGGAACACAGAATCTTAGCCATTGGACTACCAGGGAATTTGTAATGGTATTTTTTTTTTCAATTTTAATTTTCTGCTTCTTGCTTGCATATAGAAGCATAATAAAAATTGTTTATTATGTAAACAAGGCTGTAGCAGCAGCCTTGCCTAATTCACTTATTAATTGTAATTATGTATTTTTTGTGTGTGGGATTTATGGCATCTGCTTGCTGTGCATGCTCAGTTGCTCAGTCATGTCCGACTCTCTGCAGCCCTATGGACTGTAGCCCACCAGGCTCCTCTGTCCGTGGGATTCTCGAGGCAAGAACACTGGAGTGGGTTGCCGTGCCCTCCTCCAGGGGATTTTCCTGACCCAGGGATTGAACCCACGTCTCCTGTATTCCAGGTGGATTCTTTACTGCTGAACCACCAGGGAAGCCCTATATCGTCTGCAAATAACATGTATTTCTTGCTTTCCAGTTCTGACTGGCTTATGTACTTGTTTAGTACCTCCAGTACTATAATGGATAGAAGTAGCAATAATGTGAAAACTTGTCTCATTTCTGACTTTAGAGGGAAAGCTTTAAATGTTTCCCTATTATAGTGTTTGCTATAGATTTTTATTTCTAGTTTTTTCAGATAACCTCTCTCAGATTAGAGGAGTTCTATTCTTGGTCATTTAGAAGGTGTTTTTTTCAATCATGTAGGAATTGATGTTAAATTTTATCAAATACTTTTTCATGATAGTATCTACTGATACAGTCATATTATTTTTCTCCTTTTATATTATTAAAGTGACAAATTATATTAATTAATCAACTTCATAGTGAAACAAAATCAGCTTGCTTATAATTTATCTTTTTGTATACCACTGGATTCTAGATTCAGTTCACTAATATATATTTTAAAATTTTTGTTTATTTTTATTTTTGGCTGTGCTGGGCATTTTTCTTGTTTTAAATAAAATTAATAATTATGGAGTTATAGGCAAGGCTTTCACATAATTTGTGTTTGACAGTAATGACAAATTAGACATCCTTTCTTGAACCTTTATAGTTCTCAATCTTTAAAATTAATTTTAATTGGAGGGACTCGCGCCGCGGCCGCGGACACGTGAAGCCCCCCGGGTCCGCGCTCCACCTCGCTGTCCGCTCCCCCGGCCCCCATGGAGAAGACGGAGCTGATCCAGAAGGCCAAGCTGGCCTAGCAGGCCGAGCGCTACGACGACATGGCCACCTGCATGAAGGCCGTGACGGAGCAGGGCGCCGAGCTGTCCAACGAGGAGTGCAACCTGCTCTCGGTGGCCTACAAGAACGTGGTCGGGGGCCGCCGGTCCGCCTGGAGGGTTATCTCCAGCATCGAGCAGAAGACTGACACCTCGGACAAGAAGTTGCAGCTGATCAAGGACTACCGGGAGAAAGTGGAGTCCAAGCTGAGGTCCATCTGCACCACGGTCCTGGAATTGTTGGATAAGTATTTAATAGCCAATGCAACTAATCCAGAGAGTAAGGTCTTCTATCTGAAAATGGAGATTACTTCCGGTACCTTGCTGAAGTTGCTTGTGTTGATGATCGGAAGCAAACAATAGATAATTCCCAAGGACCTTACCAAGAGGCTTTCGATATAAGCAAGAAAGAGATGCAACCCACACACCCCATCCGGCTGGGGCTGGCTCTTAACTTTTCTGGGTTCTACTATGAGATCCTCAATAACCCGGAACTAGCCTGCACACTGGCTAAAACGGCTTTTGGTGAGGCTATTGCAGAACTTGACATACTGAGTGAAGACTCGTGCAAAGACAGCAGCCTCATCATGCAGCTGCTGAGAGACAGCCTCACATTATGGACATCAGACAGTGCAGGAGAAGAATGTGATGCGGCAGAAGGGGCAGAAAACTAAGTGCATACAGGGTGTCATCTTTCTTCCCCTTGAAACCTTTTTACTCATCTCCATTCCTTATTCCATCTGGATTTCCTATAGCAAAGAAACCCATTCATGTGTATGGAATCAGCTGTTTATAGTCTTTTCACACTGCAGCTTTGGGAAAACTCCATTCCTTGATTTGTGTTTGTCTTAGCCTTCCTGGTGTGCAGTTACTGCTGTAGAAAAGTATTAATAGCCTCATTTCATACAAACATAAGTAACTTCCAAACACTTATGTAGAAGACTAAAAATGTATCTGGTATTTAAGTAATCTGAACCAGTTCTGCAAGTGGCTGTGTTTTGTATTACTGTGAAGATATGAAAATGTAGCTAATTACAATTTAAAGAGTGTTCTACATAACTTCTTAATTTCTACATTCCCTCCCCTTACTCTTCTTCAGAGATTTCCTTTCAGTAAGCAACGTTTCCATCCTCTTAATGTATTCCTTTTTAGTAGGAATCCAGAAGTATTAGATTGAATGGAAAAGCATTTGACATTTTGGGGCTGGGGGGATCACAGATTAAAATGCCTCCTGTATCATATATATGTGATGGAGGACTTGTGTATCTGTGACAACAGGGAGTTTCCTTATTCACTCTTCATTTGCTGCTGTTTGAGTTGACAACTTCCCTTCCCAATAAAAACTCACTTACACCTCCTGCCTTTGTAGTTCTGGTATTCACTTTACTATGTAATAGAAGTAGCATGTTGCTGCCAGAATACAAGCATTGCTTTTGGCAAATTAAAGTGCATGTCATTTCTTAATACATTAGAAATGGGGAAAAAGCACACAGTCCAGTCTAAAACATTAGTACTTTTCCATGCAGATTTGTGCACATGTGAGAGGGTGTCCAGTTTGTCTAGTGATTGTCACTTAGAGAGTTGGACCACTATTGTATGTTGCTAATCATTGACTGTAGTCCCAAAAAAGCCTTGTGAAAATGTTATGCCCTATGTAACAGCAGAGTAACATAAAATAAAATTACATTTTATAAACCAAAAAAAAATAATTTTAATTGGAGAAACTTCTAAACTAAAGCAATATCTGAATCCCTACATATATGTAAGTTCTTCTTTTCTCATACTTTTCAATGCTTAGACTTTACCAAAAAAACCTGAAAGCAGCATTGTTTGCTCATTTTTTTTTTCAAATTTCTTTCAATCAAGATTATATTTTGAACTGTAATTGTCAGAAGATAAATTGTAAAAATTATTTGGGAGCATATTTGTATGTGAATGCTTTTCTTCATATTCATGCAAGTAGTTTTATTATTTACATTTCTCATAACTTATTGGAATGTCACATTTTTGCATATTTTCATGTTTCTTTTGACTGAAAAATCATTTTCACTACAAATTTTTAAGAGTTTTTAATCCTTTCTTTTTATAAGTAAAATAGGCAAATGTTGCTTTGCCTGTTTTGTCTTTTTTTTTTTGGTAAGTTTATCTACAGTATTAATAGCAAGTAAAAGTTTATGCCAACTAACTGTGGATTTGCAAATTAAAATCATCTTTCATCAGAGACGACAATGTACTCTTTATTTGAGGGTCTTGTATTGTTTTACTTAACTGACCTAGTGTATTTATTATCTTGTCTAAATTAACTATACTTATTCTAAGAACAGCCTTCCCTGGTAGCTCAACTGGTAAAGAATCTACCTGCAATGCAGGAGACCCCGGTTCAATTCCTGGGTTGGAAAGATCCCCTGGAGGAGGGCATGGCAATCCACTCCAGTATTCTTGCCTGGAGAATCCCCATTGACAGAGGAGCCTGGTGGGCTGTAGTCCATGGGGTCGCAAAGAGTCGGGCACAACCGAGCAACTAAGCGCAGAACACCACCTTCTAAGAACATTTAGTTTGTGTTTCCATCATATGTCCTGTTGTTACCATGACATCAGATTTGATCTGTGTTTCATCAAGACTCTCCGTATATAATGCTATGTATAGTCTTTGGATTTTACCAAAAAAGTATCATTATTTATTGGCACAGTTGGACCTGTTTCTCCTAGAAACAAATTCTATCCATGTACTCTATGTTAGCACAAAGAATGCTTCTAGGTTTTAGACCAAAATTCTAGCTTATATATCTTTTTATTTGCCAGTCACACTAGTGCCATTGTCATCGGCTTGCCTCTTAAAACCTTTTAAATCAGTTCCTTCATTGAAAGCAATTTCTGTAGTTCTTTCCTTTGAGGCAAAATCTATACTTTTCATGACAGGTGAAAACTCATTCCTGGTTTCTTACTTCTGTTAGCTCAACTATATAAATTAAGGATTGTTAAATGTAACTTTTATCTTTGTTATAGTCTAGTTGAATGAAATAAGCCTCAGTTTTATTATATGCATTTATTTTATGTATTTTTAAAAAACTTTATTAACTATTAACATAATCATCATCTTATTTTGATTTCTTCATCTTAGATGGTGATCATTTCTTTTAAATATCTCTCATATACCTTGTCAGTCTAGTAGCAAGTTTCAGAGTCATTTCTACTAAACCTAAAAATTTTCCTTAGTTTGTTGTTTATTCAGCCTTTTAAAAAAGTTTTAGTAATTATATGTATACATTTTGTGTACAAAATATATTTTATTTTCTATTAACCAAGAACCTAAGTCTTACCAGTCACAAGTAATTTTATGGTCAGTCTGATCTTGAATGTTGATTGTAAAATGGTAGTTATGTAATTTTTTGTCTATAGTTTCTTTATTTGAAATAATTTTAGTATTAAAAATTAGTCTTCTACCACATTTTTCCAGTGGGAAACTGTAGACCTCAGTTTACATCAGACTGTGCTTTGTAAGTGTTGTCTTGCTGTGAGAAGACGAGGACCATTTCCTAGAGTCTTTATCCAGGAAGTACAGAGAAGTGATAGAGAATTCTTCTTTCACGGCTAATACCCCACATATATGAATGCAGCTTTCCCCTTTTAATTGGTAAGGCTAGAGTTTAATTTGTTGCTTCTGAGTTGTGAATTGGATCACTTCTTTTCATTGTCATTGTTTTGAACAGCAATCAGAATCTTTTCTGTTACAAAAGACTCATCTGGTGTGTTTAGATTGTAGATTTGAGAAGAGTCATTTTCTTGCTCATTTTTACTATCTTGATAAAAAATGTAAGACTTCATTAAGTAAATTCTAATGTCTTTTTCTCATTCTGTTTTGGATCACGTTTGACAGATGTTTGTTTAGTTTTATTGCTTCTGTTATTTAGAACCTTAAGCAGACCATCACTTTGGCTATTTTTCTGTGACTTTTTTCTTTTCAATTTTTTTTCCTTTCCTGAGTTCTAGTTTTCTATTTTTAGCATGATCTCCACTTCTACACATTCTCAAAGATTTAAAACATAAAAATTTAATGCATTTAAATGAAATATGTGTCCAAATATATACATACAAAATTGAATATATTTCCACCAAAAATTATAGCTAATATTAAAAATTAAAATTACTTTTCATATACATATTTAAAAAGTTACTTATTTTTTCTGAACTATGCTAAATTCTTTACTAAAGATAAAATAAAATACAGAGAATAATTGAACTATCAATATTTTAAATATTAAACAATTTAAAAATTGTTTAAATCTGACATACTGAAATATTTTACAATTTGTTTAGAACTTTAAATTTTTATTAAAAGTTATGTACATTTCTAATATGTGATGTTTACCTAGTTGCTCAAAGGAAAACTCAGAATTACATTTTGTGCATATAGCATCTAGCCCCACATATATACAAATTTTAGAATAATATGAATGGCTTAAAACTGTAAAATGCTCCTCAGCCACTGTGATTACCTATTGTGAAATCTCTAGTAATTTGTGAGTAGCTCCAGAACTGCTAGTTGGAATATAAAAGAAGCAAGCAAATGTACACTCAGCGCTACTGGAAGATAATATTAATAAATTTAATGCAATAATCCATTGAATTCATCCTGAGAGTTAGGGTTTGACAAGTTAATTAATTTGTGTTTCCTTTAGCCTAAGTGCTTTGTTACTTAAATCTTCTTTTCACTATAAAGGAGTATGCATCTTTGATACTGGCAGTGGCAAAGCCTATAAATCTTCCTGGTCGTCTGATGGGTGGAAGGAATTCTCTGAGAGCCTGAATGATGTTAGTCACGACAGTGGATGTTTAAATTATGTATTGTGTTGGTGCCAAGCAGCAGATTCTCAGTGACAGAAGTGACCATGCATTCTTTAATAAACTGTGTGTGTGTGTGTGTTGGGTGGAAATTTGCTTTTTATGCATATGGATAGCCAGTTGTTACAGCACCATTTGTGGAAGATATCCTTTTTTGACTAAATTACCTTTGCATTTTTGTCAAAAGTCAACTGACCATATCTGTATGGATCTATTTATGGACTCTTATTTTGTCCCACTGGTCTATTTTTCTATCTTTATACTGCTTTGATTATTAGTACTTTTTTTTTTTTTAACAACTTCTTTATTGCTGAAGCTTAATGATGTCCTAAAATCATCTCATGTAGTTCTTCCAACTTTGTTCCTAGTTTTCAAGGTCATTTGTATCACCATTTGATTTTTAGAATCAAATTCTATTTAAAAAAAAGCAAGCTGGAATTTTTGGAATTGCACTGACTACATACCAATTTGGGAGAAATGGCTTCTAAACCAATGGTGAGTCTTCTGTTTATGAACATATC